ATTGCCACATCCACTATCCAGACTTTTTTGTCTTTCTTATCGACAATTGTTAACTCTGGGGTGTTATGTTGCAGGTGTTGGTCTGTTTGAATTCTGAAGTCCCAGAGCAGTTTAATTTTATCATTTTCTATGACTTTCTCTATTTTATGATCCCACCAGTTTTTGCTTACAGACAAATGATATTTTTTGCAGATCTTCCAATGCACCATTGTTGCTACTTTGTCATGCCGCTGCTTGTAGTCAGTCTGTGTAATCTTCTTGCAACAGCTTACCAAGTGGTCCACTGTTTCTTCAGCTTCTTTGCATAGGCGGCACTTACTGTCTGTCTGTCTGTTGTTGTTGTTGTTGTTGTTATTATTATTATTATTTTGCTGCAAATTAGTATGAAGTTAATTTTCCAATCTTATTCCACATATGGGATGTATGTTTTTTTTAAACTCCAATCATTTCCTCTAGAACATGCTTTATGTAACACTGCATGAATGACCTGTGGAACCTAAATTTAATTATAATTAAATTTAACTAGACTAAATATTAACTAAATTTAATTACAGCTGTTGCATTTCCACTTTTCTCCCTGTACAGCCCTAGATGTTCCCCATGGAATGGAAAAAGAGAAAAAAAATTCACAGCTCTTAGATGTTCACTCACCTGGTTTTAGAGCCTTGCATAAGGTTCTATATATTTTTCAGATTCCTATCCAGTTGCCATCTCTTCTTGATTAGGTTGCTCAACTGATTCCAGCTGTGACTAATGTTATCTTCAGAAGGTAAATAAAACCTGAGCTGATTATTGCTGTAAACCTTGGTCCTGAAACACTCTCCATTTGGATTCTAAAACCTTATTCTGTTGTTCCATAAAACAAATCCGGAATACATAAACCCAGGTAGCTGATTGGTTCTTCATCAGCCCCATCAATTGTCTCTCCATCCAGTCCTTTTTAACTGAAAATGATTCTTCTTAAGCAGAGATCTCTCCTAATTATTATTTATGCTCTAATTCCTAACTAGGAATGAATAATTCTATCCATTTTGTTTTCAGTAATTCATTTCACTTATTCATTGAAATTTCTGTTTAGTATGAATCTGGCAGGAGGTTCATTTGCCTGGGATTTTAATATATACTTTTGTATACAAGTGGTGATGTACATGTTTGTATAACACTTTCCTAGATCATGCACAACATCATAGCCAGCATAATCTAATGTATATGTTATGGTGTGTGTTTATTTTGCCTAGCCAGGCAAATTACAGAATTCTGAAAAATAGAATTCACTGGGATATAAGAAGGAAGGAAAGAGTATTTATTTATTTATTTATTCATTCATTCATTCATTCATTCATTCATCAATCATATGGCAAAAACATTAAAAAAGCACATCACAATTACATTCTCATGAGCAAATATGAAACCATTTACTCTATTTTCAAATTCAAAGGTAAACTATATTACATGATGAAGTTACCTGCAGAAAGTCTCTGGGGTTTCCCTGATATGCGCTCAGAGGGCATTATTCCACAATATGTTGCACTGACTACTTTGGTAAGGTGACCAACTTTTTTACAGTGAAAAGGAGGACACAAATAAATTGAAGAAAACAATATTGTAAATAAAAGAAACATTTTATTCATTGCAACAATAATACAGAATACACTATAATATGATAAATGCATAATAAAAAACATTTGTAACAATAACATTTTATATTTTAATTATGCTTACATGCCGTGCCCCCGCCCGCAGCTGCCCCACCAGCACTGCGGCCCTGCCGTGTAGAGCAGGCCCGATGGCTCCCAGAGCACCAGCTATGCCAGCTCCGGCCCCAGGGGGCAGTCCGCCATCAACACACCCCGCCTGCAGTCACCTCGCCCACCCTGCACAGCCCTGTGTAGAGCAGGCCCCACAGCTCCCACAGCACGGGGGGGGCAGCCAGCCACCGCCGCTCCTCACACCCCCACCTGCAGCAGCCCCGCTGCCTCTGCCTCTTGCGCCCGCAGCCATTATTGCCCTAGCAGGGCCGAAGATCAAGAGAAAGTTACCATGGCATCGCTGCTCCAATCTCCTCCAGGTCTCTTTGGGACTAACTAGGAGATAGTGTAGTTGGAAAGCAGGGAGGGGTGCAAGTTCCTGCCAATTTGCCTTTGCTGCAGACAACTTACATGTGCAAAGTTTGCTGGCCGGGTGTTTTGGCGTGCTCAGCAGCAATTCCTATTGGCTTTCGAAAGCCAATAGGGGGAGTAGCACAGCTCATGCAAAAGTTGAAAAAAAAACCATCAAAAAAAGGTGCCGGAACGCCGTTCTGAGTGTTCTATGAGAAAAAAAAGCCGTGCAGATTAGTCTTCAAATATCAAAAAGAGGACATGTAGGAGGACACTTTTTGAGGGAGGACAGAACTTAAAAAAGGAGGACTGTCCTCCCTAAAAGAGGACGGTTGGTCACCTTATACACCACAGTTACATTCCAAAGATGAGAGCTTTTCTCATTTATGGAGGAGACTAGCATTAGTGGACAAGGACATATGGACAAAGAAGAAGCCTCCCCGAAGAGTCCTATACTTGGGCGTCAGTTAATTCTTCCACAATGGCAACCAGAGAATCCTTGTCATCTCCAGACTTAAAACACATCACTATGGGAAGATAAATCACAAACACACTTGCAAGATTCTGTAATTATCATCTATCTCACTAAAGTATATTTCTAGTCTTCCAATGAAGCCTTTTTTCTGGTCTGGTCTACCCTGAATAGCTGACAGTCTGCTCTTGAATCAAAAGTATATTCAGTAGTGAGATTCAAATATGTGAACAACTGGTTCTCTGTGTGGATGCCACTTCCGGAAGTCCATTCTGGGCCTGGGCAACAAAAAATTAGCTACTGGTTCTGCTGAACTTGTGCAAACCAGCTGAATCCCACCACTGAATATATTTCAGTGCATTCATTATCTTAACACATCTGGAAAGCACCTATCTGATGGGCACTAGATCTAATACTCAGGTTATATCATTGCCTAGGGCATTTAACCTCCCCCCCCCAATGTGACACAATCCAGTTTATCCAAATCAGTTTATCTTAATTTTGGGAGGAAAATACTATCATTAATTGGCATTAATGAATTAATATAAATAATTATATGTTTAAATCCAAAGCAGTCAAAAATTTTCCATGATACCAGTGAAATGCATATTGCATCCACATACCAACTGCCTAGATTGGAGCTTACTTCTTAGATCAGACACTTGGGCATTTCAAGGCAAAAGACCTTCGTCTAAGGCAGAGGTGTCAAACTGCCGGCCTGTGGGCCAGTTTCATCATACGGAAGCCGCGCCCACCCCATTGCCAGCAATGGAAAAAAGTCATGACACGTCGTGTGACATAGTGAATTTGACACCCCTGGTCTAAGGGGCAGGAAAAGTAAAAGAGAGGAGATATTTCAGCTGTAGCAAAATGCTTCTTTCTAGAGAAGAGGTGGGGAACGATGGCCCTTTTATGACCTGTGGACTCCAATTCCCAGAATTCCTGATCCAGCATGACATGGCTGGCTGAGGAATTCCAGGAGTTGAAGTTCACAAGTCATAAAGGGGCCGTAGTTCCACATCTCTGTTCTAGAGGTTCTGGATAGGAACTCGTGCTGAAGTCATGCTAGAAAGGCTTTGACAAGTACCTCAAATTCTCATGACCCCTCCTCTAGCCTACCTTTGTTGAGGGGAATGCAATTCAGGATGGGAAAAGCCAATTCCAGATTAACAAAGAGTAAGACAGATTGCAAGGATCATTTTCAGTGAGGAAAAAATGCATGATGGTGGTTTTTTATTGAATACCATGCTTCTGGCCAATTCAACTCCATGCAAGAAAGGGCAAGTTCATTGTATATTAGGAAAGGGCTGAAGTGGGGTGGAGTGGGCAATCATTTGGAAGTCGGGGACTACTATGTCTTTCCCCACCCCTAGTTATTTTCAAGAATTTGCAGGATTCTTTTTTTTTTTCGCCATGTAAATGTATACATTTGAACTAGACTGTGATGTTTCTCTGTGTCGTTTGTATGTGTGGGGTGGGTATATGCATAATGATATTTTTTGAGAGCTGAATGCAATGAAATTTCATTTTAATGTATGCTGATTAGTATACATTTAAAGTGACTATTCTATTCTACTCTACTCTACTCTACTCTACTCTACTCTACTCTACTCTACTCTACTCTACTCTATTCCATTCCATTTCAGTCCAATACAATGTCATACAGAATGACTGATTTCTCTCAACTTGAAGTATGAGCAAGTCAGCCTTTGTTCAATTTCAGCTCAAAAGATTCAGTGTGCCTGCACCTTATTTTTTTTTTAGCTTTTGAGATTAAAAGGTTTGGCTTGCAAAATTCCCATTTCGGTATCTTACTAGCACTACTGTGGTTTTTGATATTGAGTTCTTAAAAGAAATGCTGAATAAAAAATATGTGATCTATTTTCTGTCCCTATGTCTGTGCAATTCTTTTCCCTTTAAATAGTCAGGGAGCAACAGAACCTCGGCAGTGAATGCAATGGAGAATTTGTTTTTTTCTCACTATAGCAGGACAGAAGCTTTTTCACCAAATTAAAAAAGGTCATGAGTAAACTAGCAGAGGGCATGGCCAAACTGGAAGTCAGTGCAATGGCCTTCACCCTGGAATGAACCGATTTTAAAATTTCCATGATGATATCAGTACGCAGGTGATGAGAACCCCTGGGTTGAGTATTCTTCAACATACAAATATGAACAACCTCTCCCTATTAGTCATGGCACCTTCCCCCCCCCATTCAAAGTACAGAACAGATATTTTTCATGATGTTTGCAAATTAAGATACAGTTCCTATTTCCCTAGTACTTTTAACTTGCTTACATGTTATCTAACAGTTTATTAAATAAGCTTATTATCCATTTGTTTGTTTTAATATCAACTGTTGTTTAAAAAAGTAAAGCCGTTTCAAAACTTTGGGGAGATGCAGATGCAATAAGAAAAGAACACAATGTACTTTGTGTGCATTTAGTTTATTACCTATGAGACCGAAAAGTACAGCAAAGAGCAAAACAAGTAGATGTAGTGTCATGAACAGATAATTGTCAAAATGCCCCCAAATTTTACTTTTGATCCTTAACAGCCGACCTTTTGGGTCTCACCCTAAAAGAAGGCAACTCCTTATAGTCAGATTGTTCCAGAAACAGCCCTGCTGAACAAACTATATTCTTACTGATCAGCTGTATGGTGGAGAAAGGATGTGGAGTCTGTATTCAGATCCTTTGCTCTCCTTTTCAGATAAATGGTTGGCTTGTATCTGCTTATCAAGTTAATTAGAATACATAGCCTCATTTTCTGAATCCAGATGTGATTTCTTTTTTCTTTTCTATTCAACTACAACTGTATAGAAGTCTCTGTGCTGCATATTATAGCTCAATGCTCTGATAAGTCAGTGTTAGTTATCTTGGTATAAGGCTGGTCTTGCTAAAATCGGCACCACTCTGTAGCTTGTTTTGAAGTGAGTTTTTAAAGCAAGCACCTTTCTTTGAATTGTATCTATTTTGTTACTGTGATTATTACCCTACACCTTATAAGCTCCCCCTTTATTTGTTTGTTCTGGAGAAAAATACATTTATATCTGAAAGCAGAAATAGACAGACAGCTCTGCACTGAAAGAAAATACTTCAGGCACATGGGGGTTTTCCAATGGAATATTCTGCTTGGGATTCTGGAAGACTCAATTTCATTGTGTTTTCATGTTTCACCTTTTGTGTTATTGGCCATTGCACTGGACATCATGTGGCCAAAGGCATGTGTGTTTCACAAGCAGTATTGTCATCCCTCATTGGGTAAGATTTAGAAAGGTAGGTTCTGCGCATACAGAGTAAAATATAGGTAGTCCTGAACTTACAACAGTTCATTTAGTGACCATTTGAAGTTACAATAACACTGAAAAAGTGACAACCATTGCAGCATTCCCATGGTCATGTGATCTAAATGCAGATGCTCAGCTACTGATTCATATTGATGATGGTTGCAGTGTCCCAGGGTCATGTGATCAGCTTTTGTGACTTTCTGACAAGCAAAGTCAATGGGGAAGCCAGATTCACTTAACAACTGTGTTACTAACTTAACAACTGCAGTGATTCATTTAACAACTGTGGCACAAAAGGTTGTAAAATGGGGCAAAACTCACTTAGCAAAAGTCTCACTTAATTCCAAGATTGGAGTAATGCAGAATTGCAAGCTATGGTTACAGTTATTAAAAGCATGAAGAGAAATTTCTAAACTCTTCTTCCCAGATGTTCAACAGAAGAGAATGTGAAAAATGGAAACTTGCAAATCTGGGGAGAGTTCATTTTCATGTCATTGAGAATCATTGTTTGCCAAGCTAGCAAAGAGTGACATGACTTTGACTCCTTTAGCTAGCTTTACCCATATCTGTAGGAATCTACCTAACACCAAAATTAACATCAGACCAACAATCAAGAAGCAAGCAATACTCCAATCAAAAGACCACTCCCATAGTCACTAGAATATAAACTGAGAGCAGACCCCACCCCCTACTAGCACTGAAGATGCTACCTAATTTGGGTAATGAAACATCTTCAAGAAAACAACCAATATTGGAGAGCACCAATAACCCCTCATTTCAACCCTGAGCTACAAATATTCTCCTCTAACAAATCTAGATAAATTGTTGCTTTCCGTTGTTTGTGAAAGTTCTGTCTACTTCCCTTCCTACAATTTTACTTTGTATTAGTGGACCATTTGCAGACCTTAGAGGACTTTTCACTTTGACATTTGGTTTTACTGTCAGAGGAAATGGATATTTTAGTTCCTGCAGGTTTGCATTGACAGGATCCTCCGGCCTTCTCACTGCATTCCTTTCCTTGTTTTGCTGCCCTCTGAGAACTGCATGGGGAGTTGGTCACAGCTTGAAAGAAAACACATGGAATGGTTATTCATGAAACACCTTTTTGGGAAAAATAACAAACAGGCAACTTAGTACTTACAGATACTGATGGAACTTGAAGAATCTCTGGATATCCTGTGGAGAGAAGAAAACACTCCCTTTTTTTTCCGTGTTGATCTTCCGGGCTTGCCTTAACACTGTTTATCATCTTCATTCTTTCCTCAATAATAAATCCACAGCATTTATACCCATTTATGCAGAATACAAAAAGCATTACTCAATGTTTCATCATCTCTTTTGAAAATACCTTTGTTTGAAAGGCTATTTGAAGGATTTCTAAATACGTCTGTATTGTACTGTTACATATATTTGGAAGTAACTGGAATTCAGGCAGTGGTGGGATTCAAATACCTGAACATCTGGTTCTCTGCGTGGATGCAGGCCTGGGTCTCCGAGGCCTAGAATGGACTTCCGGAAGTGACATCCATGCACTTCCTGTGGGCTGTTTTAGGACTGGGAGGCCTCCTCCACACCTCTGACTTCTGGAAGTGACATCCATGCACTTCCGGTGGGCCATTCTAGGCCTGGAAGACCTCCTCTAGACCTCTGAGGCTTAGAATGGACTTCCAGAAGCAGCATGGGTTCAGCTGGTTCTCTGAACTCAACAAAATTTAACTATCGGTTCTACTGAACCGGTGTGAACTGGCTGAATCCCACCACTGAGTTTGGCCATATAATGCTTGGTGACAGGGATCCTATAAAGCTTGATCTAGAATAAATAAAATAAATTGACATAGGAGACTTACCTTTCTTCTTCTCCCTCCAACAAACTTTTGTAAGCTGCAATCTCAATATCAAGAACTATCTTCACATTCAGAAGTTCCTGGTAGTCACGTACTAGGCTGGCCAGTTCATCCTTGCCATTTTGAAGGGCCTTCACTAGTTCAGCATATTTCTGTTGACCTTCTTTGAAGGCTTGTTCACCTCCTTTGGCTGCCTCACAAACTGTCTTCTTGAGCTCTTCGTTCTGTAAAAGGGATATGATTGGACATGTTGTCACCTGCCTCTTAGTGCCACACACCCAGATTGCAGCCTTTCAACAAAAGTATCTGGAAAATTAGGGCTCATATCCTTCAAAAACATGGGTTAGAGTCTTTACTTTATTCATTCAATGAAAGAATAATGAAATCCATTATTCTAGTTGCCATTACACCTAATAATTCAGGCTTTGTCCTTCTACGTGTTATCTTCTTTTTTCCCCAGGAAACCCAATGGACAAAATATAACTTTTGGGGCAACCTGGGCAACCTGGCCAATCTTGTCCTAGACCTGGAAGTTAGTCAGCATTGAGTATTTCAGAAGGGAGACGATTAGGGAAACTCATAAGTGAAGATTGTAGACCATAGACTCAACTGGGAGATTGAAAACCATCCAGCGAAAAAAATCATGGCAAACACGTCATGTTATCTTGCCAAGCAAGCCATAGGACTGAGCTCAGGACTGAGAGCATCTTTATCAGAAAAAAAAAACAGATGTTGGTAGTTTGGACTAATGCATGTCTTGCATATGTTACTGTACAATTTCCTCCAACACCCAGAAACAACATACAAACAAACCTCACCATACTTTTAGCATATAGATACCAGTATCTTTATACCAACTGCATACTGAAAAGAGGAATGCAGGTATGTTGTAATCAGGGTATCGGGGATTATTATACCTGTGGACCATAAATATCCTATGGCTTGTAAAAAAATGCATATTCAAACAAAAACAAAAAAGTTCTATTTTTCACTTTAAAAGTCCATTTTTAAAAATGATTTAAATTTGTTACCATTTTCTGATCATGAGAAAAACTGTCAGTTTTAGGTCTGTTTGCAAAAAGTAGAGATTCAAGCTCTTCTAACCTGGCTTCATGTCTTCTTAATAGTTCACAACTAATGTTTGTAAAGCCCTTGCCTCTTTACTAATTACACATAACTAGTGAAACAAATCCAGATTTTGGAACTAAGAATAGTAAACACAAATAAGCTTCTTTACACAACGAGGCACCTTACATATACTCTATAGCAGGGCTTTTCAACCTTTTTACCCATTGTACCCCACTTTTAGGATATGGCAACATCTGAGTACCACCAGTCGCCTAGCAAGGTGTCAAAAACTTAATGACCTCCCAAAAGGAAAAAAGTGATAAAGTACAGGTAGTCCTCGACTTACAACAGTTCGCTTAGTGATTGTTCGAAGTTACAATGGCACTGAAAAAAGTGCCCCTCATGCCACAGCTGAGCAAGACAGTTCCCGGCGGCACTCTTCCTCCTGTCCAAGGTTTTCATTGTTGTGAGCATTTCTGTTGAGGATTGGCAGTGTGGGTGGGGTGGGGGGTGTTTGGTTTTTATTCCCCTCATCTGCTGGGTGATTGCAGCAGGTTTTGGTCAAATCACATGACCCCGGGACACTGTAACCATCATAAATATAAATCAGTTGCCAAGCATCTAAATGTCAATCACAAGACCCTGGAGATGCTGCAACATTCCAGCTGATCAGCGCTTCTTCTGGGCTCAGCAGAAGTACCAGGATCAGCGCTGAGCTCCAGCTGGATCCTGGCACTGATCCTAGTGCTTCCTCTGAGCCCTGACAGCCCCGAAGAAGCACCGATCAGCTGGAAAGCAGCACTGATCCTGGTGCTTCCACTGAGCCCTGACAGCCCTGCAGCTCCAGCCATGTCTCGCTCAGGCTTGTGCGGTGCTTCCATCAGTTCAGCTCATTCCCCTCTCCTGCTACTTTTCTAGAATGGTCGCGTACCACCTGCCAGGTGCCAATGTACCACAGGTGGTACCCGTACCACTGGTTGAAAAGCCCTGCTCTATAGTACTCATGTATGAATTGTACTATTGCTAATTTGAAATTTGAATTATTCTACCACCCCCAACCCCCCAGTTGTCTAATTTGCATTGCACCAGTCTTACCTCCTTCTGCAGACTCTGAAGTTCACACTGGACTTTTTCAACTTGTTGGATAAGTTCTGAAATCTGCTGCTCTCGATTCTTCAGATCCCATTTGTAACTAGAACTCTTACTTTGAGCCTCTTCATACTAAGGGTGTCAATATAAGACCTTTCTTTAAAATTATCACAATCATATGTTTACATTACAGCTTTTCCATGCTAATCATATTCAAAGTGGCTCATGACACAGAAAATAGTATAAGGCAATTTGCTAACAAAGTAATTTTTGGAGGGGAAACCTTTATAAATGCAAAGTAAGATTATGCAACCTGCTGAAATTTATATTTTTAAAGAGATTTTTTTTAAAAAAAAATAGTCCAAATCACTGCCAAAATAACTTATCTAACATTAATAATTGTAAGATGAATTCTGACGATCTCAGGTTGCCCTCATTAGCAGTCATTTTCAGCCAGTTAAAGATGAGACAGAGAGAAGAACTGGTGTCAGCTCTTGCAGGATTCAGTGTCTGATAGCTACTGTACATGGCTACAAGCAATGGAGTCCTACCATTTAGCGATAGATTGTTAGCCACACTTCTGCTGAGTATCTCTTATTGTTTGCCTGGGATGTCTATCAGTCTTACCTAATCCCTTTCTTCCGATAAATTAGTGAGAAAGTATACAAGTAGACAGAATGGAAAGCCATTCAATGGAAGCCATAACTCAAGAATTCCTGGTACACATACATTCTTTGTGGTGGTTACAGGATATTTACTGACATTAGGATTGTTCTGCTGCAACATTTGTTTGATTGAGGAACAAGAAAGAGCCAGACAGAGCAGCAAGAAGATGTTGAAAATTGAGGAGGATATGCCACTGCTGTCCTTTACAACAGAGGATGCTCTCCTGTCACTTATATCTGAGTAAAATTCTTCTGGTAGTTCAGGAGGCCTTTGTATGTGACATGAAAAGCAGCCCTATTGCTTATGAGCAGTGTCTCATACATTAAGAAGGTAGATTGGTAATCAGTCAGTAAGGAAGTCACAAACATATGCAAAGCTATGTTAAAAGGTTAGCAAAAGCGACAAGAGAAATAAGCAGGGAACGTCTGTGGCATTTCACTTACCAAGTATTGCATTTTTTTTTATCAATAGGTCTTTTTTTCTTTTTTCTTTTTAAAAAAGAACAAATAAAAATTACCAAGTTTTGCACTGATGTGAAATACCTTGTTTTGATAAAATTTATCTGCCTCCGCTTTACTTCTCTGCATAATTTCCTCATACTCTTTTCGGACTGTGGCTATGATGTTGTCCATGTCAAGGTTTCTACTGTTGTCCATTTTCACAACCACATCCACATCTTGATCTTGTTTGTCAAGCTGTTCTTTCTCCTAGGTGTTGATTCAAATACATTGTCAGTTCTGTAGCCTAGGTCAAGCAGTGATCACCTGAAGGAAAGAGGATCTCTTGAGTGGATCCCTCCCTACTTACCTTCTTATATACACATTTCAAGAACTTGATCTCTCGGTCCAGGAGACTGATTTTCCGCTCCAGCTCTGCATTATTTGAAAAAATGAAGTCTACAACCTAAACAGATGACGTTCTCGTATTACATTTTTTTTATGGGAGGATTTCCAAAGAAGGGGGGGGGGGAATCAGACTTCACTTAAACTATTAGAAGGATTGAAAGTTATTTTAAAAATTGCAATAAATAACAACAACAAATATCATGCCATGATTTTTAAACCCATTATTTGCAGGTTTCATGTCCCCGTCTGATGGCCCTTAAACTGAAGCTGAATATCTCCCTTTGTATACCAAGGAATTTATTCTATTATTTGCAAAAGCATCAAGTAGAAAATATGTTTTGTTTTTTGTTCTTGAGTAAAAATACTGTGCTGTAGAGGGCCCCCTTTCTTCTTTTCAGCTATTTATTATAATTAAACATATCATACAAATATTTGGAAAAGGTGGGGCAAATGAAATATTTTTAAATACACACCTAAAGTAAGATCTTGGGTACATGAAAGGGTGAGTCCATTTT